TTCATTGGAGTGCAGGAGGGGACCGAGCGAAGCTGGACCTGCCTGGCTCATTAAAACTCCTCGTGGCAGAATTGTGGGATGAGGCCCCTCCCTGTCGATGCCGGGACCCTTCCTGACCGGAGCAGCCGATTGGAAGCTGCAACAGCTCTTACCAAGTGCTCCCCTTGGCAACGGAGATTCTCAGCTGCGAAGTGCTCTGCATTATTTATATGGCACAGCACAGCCTTAGCAAATCAGGTATTTTTGCTGATATTTATATCTGCACGTTTGGTTGTGGCTGTTTTTTGGTATTTTGGTGGGGTTTTTTTTAAGCTGAAGCACTAAAATAGTGTTACTCTCATTACTCTAAAACAAATCTTCATTTTCTGCAATGTATTCTTCGTGACATCCTTTGTCTTGGAGCCTCTCGTGTTTAATTGAAAATTCTCTTTTGGTCCCGATGCCTGTTCCATGTTCCCACTTCCCAGTGAAAGGGCAGAGAGGGTCAGGAGTGAGCAGCAGTATTAAAAGAAGAAATAGGGGGAAAAATGAAGTCCTGAGTGCATGGCTAGAATATTGCCTTTAAAATTCAACATTTACAACCCTGCCTGCAGAACAGCAGTAGTCACTTCTATAGTGGGGCTTTACAAAAGCTCTCTAAACACTTTTATAAAATAAAAAAATATATTTCTTGAAGTCGCTCTCACCTTTGGGTGACTAAATGCTGGCTTGTGATGAGGCTTTGCTGATTTATTGTCATCAGAACACATTCACAGTTTGCAAATGTAATCCTAATGCTCCTATTGGGGTGATATGTGAGAAGGAAGAAGAGTGCAATAGGTGTGTCAGTCTATCTTTGACATAACATATACACCTAATTAGTTACCCAGAATGAAAAAACTTTGTGAATTGCAAAAGAAACAGGTTCTTAATTCAGCTTCAGCAAAACCAAACAAAATAAAAAACAAACAAACAAAACCTCAACCAAAAACAGCAACGAAATTGAAAATGTACACCCTAAAAGCATGATTATTGTACCTTGACTCTCCATCTGTAGCTGGCATATCCTCCACCAGCTCAGGCTACTGCTAAAAAAAACTTGAAGAAAGTTGGAAAACTTCAAAACTCAGAGAATGACATCTGCAAGGATGACAGGTGGGGGACATGGAGAGAATGTTTAATAAAAGGATGGATTTATCAGAATTGAGCGATTTTTAATCTCTAGAAATGTCTAGAAGAGAAAGTGGAAATACTTGGGAATTGTCAGGGTGAAATCCATAGTCTGCATGTGGTGGGTTTGACTAAAACAAGTGATTCAAATTATTTTTTTCATCCAAAAACCACTCGAAGATGCTTCAGTTTTCTTTCTAAAGATGAAGAGGTCACCGTGTAAGGCAGCGAGCAGGAATCCCGGGGCTTCCCGCCTGCTCCTCTGCAGCTGGGATAGCCCTGGGAGGGGTCGCCTGCGGGTCCTCGGGAGCGGAGCCTGGACAATCCGGCGGCATCGAGCTCCACCTGCTGCAGCGACTCTTCAGCATCGCTGCCCTCCTTCTACCTGCAGCTGCCACAAGCCAGCTCGAGAAAAATTACCATAATCATTTTCATGGAAAGCTTCTGGGTCGTTTTCTCGTGTAATCTCGCTTTATGATGATGTTTTGTGCATTACTTAATGGTTTTTTTTAAAAATCGCACTTTCTTACATATGAACTTGTATGAGATTTTTTTTTTTTAACATCACTACAATGAAAGCAGGAAATGATCGCTGAAACAGGCCTTTTGATGGCTTAAAGCAAATTAGATGAACTATGATGAAAGTCTTCTTAGGTTGGAAACACTAAAAAAACCCCAACACCCGAGCTCCCGAAATTGTTCAGGTTGTCATGATGATATATTGCTGAATGTAGCAAATTAGACATACCCGTAATGTTCTCTGGTTTTCTGTCTGCACTGCAAATTAAAAAGATCTCCACTGTTCTCTAATTACTGCTGTTACTGTTCTAAGCTCAGATTGCACCTTTTCGATACATGGCATTGTAATGACAGATGATGATGCTGAGGAGGAAGCTGCTCCCTGCTGTTCTCTGTGCTGAGGGTGATTGAATCCTATCATCAGTGCCTGAGTGGAGGTGGGGCTGTGACATCTCCCTCCTTTAGCGTCTGAGCAAAGGGCAGGGGGCTCTTTTTCCTTTCCCCATGGCCTGGCAGAGCTTGATGGGCAGAGAGAGGATGCAGAGAGATGTTGCAGCTGAGAGAACTTTTTTGTCCACAGCTCCCAGTCTGCTGGGCAGCACTTTTTGTACATCAGCTCTACCCTGACTACATGGATACAACTTCCTAGGGCCAGCTTTGGATTGTTTGGAATCACTGAATGAGCTCTTTGATCTAAAACTAGTGCTGGAAAGAATTACTGTCTTCATGTCCTTGCAGCCTGCGTTCCATACACTGCTGAGTGATCTGAAGGCTTTTAATAATCTACCTATAGAATTTTTTTTTAAGAGGCAGGAATGTGTCTTTTTTCCACTTGAATAAACTGATGGTTGAAGGAGTTCTGAGAGAGTGTTTGGGTCTGACTTCAGGGCTTTTTATGGCTCTGTGCCTTCCTTGGGGGTGAAAGCACAGACCCAAGAATAGTGGTCTATCCCAGTGTGTATCTTCAGGGCAGAGCAGTTACAAGTAAGTAATTTTCTATTCCTGGTTTTGGGAATTGGATATTCTTTTTATACTAGACACGGTAGTCTGTACAACAGCCTTGCAAGAGAGGAGTTGCATTCCTAGGCATTTAAGCACAGCAATTTATAAAACATGCATTTTGCACAGTAGCTTGTCAGCAGATACTTCCTATGAGCATCTCTGTGCACCAAAGGTACTTGCTGACAAACCGAGTTTTTCTGCCCTAGACTGGTGTAGGCACTTCTGCTCTGGTTTGCATGTCTGTAGAAAAATTTATTTGCACCACTCCATTTAGAAAATGATGACCTGCTGAAGTATTTCAAGTATGGTTACGTGGTTTTGTTTATTGTTTTTTAGGAACCAGTGGGGAAAAGTAGAAGTAGAGGAAAAATGACTTGAAGTGGCTGAGGTTACGCTAACAGGTACTCTGTCAATCCAGAGGTGAGAATGGTGAAGCTTTGACTCGGGATCAAGTTAAAGAAGGCACCAGACAAGCATCATGCTTTAATTATTCATAGTGCTACCTGTTTGCTGAATTCAAGGTTTAAAGTTTACTGCACACAAGGAACCAGCCTTTATTGGCTGATGAACGTTTCCCTGGTTTTATCTGGTAAAATTCCTCCTGAAGGTATTAGAAAGAAATCACTGATGAGTTGTAGGGTCTCTTGTAATTTGGTAAAAATAGTGTTCTGAAAATTCAGTTCAGCTGTGTTAGTAATTCCATGTATCAGTTCTAGAAGACTGACCTTTAAACTGCATTACAGTTTAGCACAGAAATGGCTATTAGATTCAAAATTACTTTTTTTATTTCAGAAATTCATATTTTATTAAAGCACACAGGTCAATATTGCACATTCTTAGACCTCAAAAACCTACAGTTGAAAGGGCTGTTCCTTTGGGTGTTGTGAGGAGCTGCACAAATGACTATTGTTGAAGATCTAACCTACACCCAGGGTTTCAGCCTTTGCCTGGTGGGACCTTAACTTACAATTTAAAATATTGAAAGGCTCGGAGGTGATTTTAGTTAAAATGCCACTTCTGGGTCAGCACAAACAGTTTGTGTGGTGAATCTGTTCATCCAAGACCACCCAAGTGAATTTGCTGCTTGATACATTCTTGGGCCTGTCGTAGAGCTGTGCAGTTCCAGACCAGGCTGGGGCTCTATCCCAAAGCAATTCAGGCCTTGTAAATATAAAGAAAATGTTGGAATTAAGACACAATTTAATTTCTCTGTATGCATTTAACAATTACCAGAATTTTATTTGACAATCCAGCAAAAATTTTAATTTTTCATCATGTGTCATCTTTGTTAGCTTATTTAAAATCTGTTCCATCTCTTTTTCTTTAGAATAAAAATAAGTGCCAGGCAGCTGATTTGAGCATAATTTTTATTAAAAAAAAAATTAGTAAAACATAAACAAAAGAGAAAGCATGGTGCATTTGCAGATATAAAAATTGACAAGTAACATTAACTTTTTTTAAATTCTTTCCTGACGTTTTTCTTTAAGAAAGAAAGCCCAAGTGTCAGCCTGACTTCAGCATCCAGTAGTATCTCACCTATCACAACTCAGTATTTAATTTTCTTTTTTAACTGACTCAAAGCAGCCTCTCTTGTGTGGGTGAAGATTTCTGTGTGGGTCCAACAGAAATCAGCAGTATGCTCTTCCATACTTCCAAGGTGCGTAACAAAGGGGTTCCTTAATTTTTTTCTTACTGGGAATTAATTTTTCTGGACACCTCGGGACACTTGGGAATTGCCTCACAGGATACCTCAGACTGCACCCCATTTCCCTACCCCAGTTCCTTGTCTCCCAGTGGATTGCAATTTATCCCTAATTTTTTATTACCTAATGCATGCAAACCCACTGCACATGCAGAGCATGCAGTCAGAATCCTGTGAAATTGGTGCAGATGTTCTCTGGAAACCCCAAGGGTACTTCTAAGCCAGGGCTAGTTCAACAACAAATAGAAGCTTTCATCTCCTTTGTTTTTTTTCAGTTCCATAGCTGCTCAGAAGAAAAAATGTTGCAGGCATTTTGATCAATGCACAAAGTTGGGAGTTTTAATTCCCTTACATAAAATTGCTGACCTGGTTTGTGTTCTCTTAAAAAAATGAGAAGCAATAAAAAAAACCCACATTGTGTTCTGTGCTCTAAACCCAGCTATGTCTGTGGAGCTTTTCCTATTATTTTGGATTTTACAGGTGTCAGTCTCCTCGTTTGGAGTCTTACTGAAAATTTTTCTGGCTTGGGACTTGTAAAAGGTTTCTCTCCCATGCGAATGTTTTGTAGTTTGTAGCAGTCATTCCTTAAATCTAGGCCATTAAACGAGCTCTTCTTCCTGTCTGGTAGTTAATCAAGCTCCAGGTTGCTCAACTTCCTGAGAGATCTCTGTCAAACTCGAACTCAGCCATCATTTCAAGCCGTTGGGCCACCTGCACACCCAGGAATGCACAGAAGGATCACGTCAGACCTGTTTGCGTGCTGGTGAGGTGGCACAGTGCTGTCCCACGTGATGACCACCTCAGGAAATATTTGGTGATGAAAACGGAACCCTGAGACTGCACATGCCTTCTCTATGACGAGCTGTCCTTAGTTAATGCTGTAATGTTTTATTTTCCATTCCATCACTTTCAGTCTGATTCACTGGAACCAGGGAAGAAGGAAATGGGAATGGACCTGAGGACTCTCAGGACAGCTGTAGCTCAGGCCCAAGGAACCCAGAGCACTCAGAAATGGGCCAGGGAAGGCTAAAGGAGTCTTTGGTTCTGCAGTGGCAGCAGTTGAATTATAGACAAAACAATTTACTGTACTAACAGCTTAGAAAAGATAGCTTAAAATTCTGTCTTTGTAGGCTTTATATGTACTGAAAATGTTGACAACTCTGTAGGAGGAATGATTGTTTGATAGCTCCATCTGTATCAACATTATATTGTTTTAGTGTTCTTTATAAAGGAGCTTTTTCCCTCCTGGCAGTCTCTTGCATGACTTGGTGCTGTGCCAGGATTTATAATTAAGTAGGTAGAACTGAGCAGTGTTAGGACATAAAATGTCCATTATGTGAGAGAAAATCACTGTGAAAATATCTGCCACTGTTACAGAAACACCTGCATGGACTCATTTGGAATATACCAGCTTGAGTGTCCGGAAGATGCTGAATCTGAATAGATTTTTGTGCCCCTTATTTTGCTGAGTAGGGAGCTGTTATGATAGGACATGGATTTGGGATCCTGTGTACCTTTCAGCCAGCTGAGTTTGGACAGCAACCATTACTTTGTGGGAATGACCACAGAAAGTAGCTGGTTGTACATTCTTTTTCTAGAAAGTATCTCCTATTGCCACCAGACACAACAAACTTCTGGCCCAGCAGGACAATTCTTATGGTCTCATTTAGATGAATAAATTCACAAACACTGTGATGAGAGGGGGGGAATACAGGAAGGCATATTGGGAATAGTCTTTAGCAGAGCACACTCATATTTAGTGCTCTTGCACTTAAGTGTTCTGAGGCTGTGTTGTCACCCACGTTTCACCACTGTCACTGTGTGGTGGTGACAATACTGAGGTTTCACTCTGATTGCACTCCAAGCTTGCCTACAGAGACCATTCCCTCTGTTCTCTCAGTATCAGCTTAAGCAGTTGCTAAACTGCACAAAAAAAGCTTTCAGTAGGTGACTCCAGGGTTCCCTGAATTTTTCTGGAACCTTCTAACTTAGCTGAGATGTGAGCATTAAGCTAAGGAAAGAGATTCATTTGCAACCGAAGAGCTAACAGTGGCACAAAAAAAAAAAGATGATTTACATCTGGCAAGGTTTAGTTACAGCCTGCTGCAAATAAAACTGACAAATTACCCCTGCCAGCCCCAGCAGGGTACAAATTACACGAGTGTTTACAAGCTTCTGAGACTTTAAGTCTTTGAAGAGCATTCACTAGAGAAAAATAGTTGAATCAAAACAAGCAGCAATAAGACAGACGTCTATATAAAAACTTAATAATTGGGTTAAGTCTAAGCAAATGTGGCAGTCAAGACAACGTGTGAACTCTATCAGCATATGTTGAAGGCAAATTAGGCTCTTTCATTGTTTGACTGAGATTAACTGTGGAAAAGGTAAGGAAGTTAAAGTAGCTTCTTTGCATGTGCTCCTGTAGAGGAATCAGAACTTTACATTTTGCAATAATGTAGTGTTTAAATCTTCCAAAA